CTCCTAGCGCGAGGGCCCCATAAATCGGCCTCTGGAAAAATCCGGAGCGCTGCCACTGCCTGCAAGCTGCTAAGACTTGGCAATGTTCGCGCTGTGGCTCCAGGGGACCAATGGGAAGCCTGAGCCTCGTGGCCCCGGGAAGAAAGGTCTGTCTGGAGACCATCAAACTATCTGCTTTCTTAGGTTGGAGGCGCCGAACGGCTGCTCCTCCAAGACCTGCCCGCTCTTTCTTTTCACGAAGCATAGTCTCCCTCGCTCGGCCCAGCCCCAGGCCCGAGGGTGGAATGTAACATCTTGTAATGTGGCAATCACTGCCAAACTCATCCCTGCGGGGGGAGCTCCCGCCGTGGGGAGGGGGTTCGAGGGATTAGGGAGCTCCGCATCCGCCAGCGTTGGGATGTGTTGGGTGCGGCGGCTCCCGGCAGATCTCGGTGAGGAAGATTGGCCCGGGTTGAGGGGGAGTGGGCTTTCCTGGGGCTGCTTTGGGTGTCATGACTCTGCGAGAGGCCTCCAGTCTCCGCAGAACATCTTCCCTCTAGTTCCAAGGGGGATTTGGTGTAACGCGACTCCCAGGATTGCGTCCCATCCAACAGCTTCTAGGACCCAGAACCTCAAAGTTGAACTCAAAGGGACCTGTCAGTATTTTAGGAGGAGAGGATCTGTAGCTTCATTCTCAAAGGAGTCTCTGACCCTAAACAGGTTAAAGCCTGTTCCCTGCGGGGAAAGGAACAGGCTTGTGACTTTTGAGCGAGTGCTGGGGGCTCCCGGAATAGAGGGGTTGTGCTTTAACCCCTCATTGGCTTTACTGGCCATAAGAACTTTCTGAAAGACAAGAAGGTTTTCTGCTCCCCAACTTGGTTTTCTTTGGTGGGTGGGACTCCTAATAGCGGAGGAGCTAGGACCATTTTGCTACTTCAGACACTCCTCCCCTTACACAGGAAGGATATTCACAATTTTCACGAATGATTCTAAAATAAGGCGGGTTTGGGGGAAGTCTCCTAAACGGTCCCACATTGCAGTAGGGCTGATCAGGCCTGGGATCCGTTCTCCCTCTCTTCTGCCCTCTCCAGTCGGTCCCGGAGCCCTGGGGCGAGCGGCTGGAATTCGGGGCAGCCCGGGGGGGCGGGGAGGGAGTGTGGTACGGCAGAGCGCCGCCCTGTGGGCGAGGTGGCCGTGGACTGTGGCCCGTGCAGGCGCGGGGTCGGGGGAGAGCGGGACTGAGGGAGGATGACACGAGAGTGCGACGCGGGAGCGCCTGGCGGCCTGCAGTTGGCACAGGAGCTCAGTGCCCGCGCTCTGCCAGAGGGTGGAGCGGAGAGGGCCCGCAGCCGTCTCTTGTTCTTCCCTCCCCCTGCCTCCCAGCGCTTGTCATATCCTGTCTCTGGCCTGATATTTCACACAAGCAAATGGAGGGGGATTACAATGGAGATTTATGTGTGTTCGGAGCGCGGCTGGTTTCCCAGTGTAGGGAGACTACATCGCTGCTTCCCATTTCCATTTTTCATTCGCACTTTGGGGAGCGCAGCCGAGCGCGGGGGGGAGCCTGTCTGCGCGGCGGCGGGCTGATCACAGAGCTCCGCGTCTCGGGCCGGCTCCGAGACTGTGAGAAAGGCTTGGCAGAGCGTCGCCCCCGGCGGGGCTGGAGCCGGCCCCCGCCTCTCGGAGCCCGGCTTTGTTCCTCCTCCCAGCCCCCTCACTTCTGGGACCCAGGCGCGTCCTTGGGATTCCTTTTCTTTGCCCTTCTCCTAGCTTGTGGAAACGCCCCCTTCCCCTGGCCCCTGCACCCTCCTGCCCTCCTTTTCGCGGGCTCCCCGGGGAAAGGCACACAGTGGCCTGGCTCGACCCCGCCGCCGCGGGGTGCCAGCTTCGGTGACTCCGACGAGTCTGTGGGGCCTCGGCCCACCCCGGAGCTGGGGCCGCCCGCCCTCCCGACTCCCAGGCTCGGCTCATGCCAAGGCCTGTTGCGTGATTCCAACTTGGTCTGACATTCCCTGCCCCGGGCGCTCCGGCGGAGGCCTCTTAATCATCTTGTCTGCTGCAGATCCTCGACACCAGCCAATTTACTGCCCGTTTCTCCCCGCTGGTTTCGGGAGGAGGGAGGGGAGTGCGCTCAAACGCGGGGAGAGTACAGTCAACCGCTGGAGGAAGGTTGGCACCAGCTACTGGCACTCAAAAAACCCACAGAATTTGGGGTGGGTGAGGGGAAACGGAGGGGGTCTGCCAGGTAGTGGCTGTTCAGGGAAAACCAGAATCGTGTGTCAACTGGCTTCAGCTCAGGGACCTGTCGCCTGGGAAAACAATGCAGAAATGTAAAGAAACACTGTATTCCCAGAGCCCTGGTTCTCTGGATTACACTGTTGTAAACCAGACTCAGAAGAGTCTGGATGATGCCATTGAGGCCAGAAAGTCATTTCTGCTCCATGTTTGATTTTTGGCAGATAAGTTGAAGACACACGTGGATGGCCTGAATGACTATCCTAGCCGGGAGGAGGCCTGGCCCTTGGCAAACTGGGCTCTGTTGCCAACCTCCTCTCCAGTGGAAGAGCATCCCTTCAGAGGGTATGGTTGGGGTTCATGCCCAGATAGGAAGGGGCAAGAGCTTCCCCAGCCCAGGACACTGCTCTTCCACACAAGGTGAAGTTAGAGGGGCCTCTGGGTAACTTCAGGTTTTATAATCCCAGGCAGAGTAAAGTCTCTCTGGAGGCGCTGTGATACAAGGGCAATACTAAATTCAAAATAAAATGTATTGAGTGCTCATCACCTCATTGTCTGTTCAAAACTCTAAGCAATAGCTGTTATTTTTCCTGTCTTATAGATCTGGGATCTCTAACACAGAGAGGTTAAGTGGGTCGTGCAAGGTCACACAGTGATTGAAGCCAGGGAGCCGCCAACTGTAGGCCTTAGTACTTTCAGGGAAAGGGACTTTTAGTTTAAGCCTGCATTAACCACCAACTTCTGGTCCTTGCAGAGAATGTCATAAGGTAGGGTCACTTCCAAAGCTGGAAGCTGGTTGTGTGGGGCCCAAGGTAGAAAGCAGAGCTGAATTAAATGTAGATCCTTCCACTCAATGAATGTAAGATGAAAGGATGCCACTCTTAGCGATGGGCATCAGTTTCCCTGTGTGTATATACATTGAGTTGTTCACGTGTGTGGTGTGTGTGAATGTTTGAGTGTACATGAATGTGTATGTCAGTGCTGTGTGTGAGTGTAAGACTGTGATTATGAGTGTGTGATGGTGAGGATGTTGAAGTGTATGTCATTGTGTGTGCCTGTGTTGGGAACCAGGGCAAGATTGTGATTGTGAACGTGTATCCATGTGTGTTGGTGAGAATGTGAATACACATACATAGACGGGACTGTGAGCGTGTGCGTCAGTGTGCGATTGTGTGTGCTAGTGCAGGGCTCCGTGTTGGAGTCGCCCTGCCTTCCATAACATTCAACCGTGTGCCTTTCCAGGGTGACTCACAGAATTCTCGATTTAGACATCCAGGGTAGGAGTCTGACCCCCAGACTGCAGCTGAGCCCAGGCTTTGGACAGCAAGTCCCCCTTCAGCGGCTGGGATGCACTGCTTGGCCGCAAGGCAGGCGCGAGGGCGGCGGAGAGGGCCCGGGCGGGAGACTGTGGCGCCGGCTGGAGCCACCCGGCGCTGGGTGAGTCATTGCGCCGCCGGCTGGCAAACCCGGCACGGGGACTCGGGCGGGGGCGGAGCGTGAACCCTCTGCTGTGGCTCAGCGCCAACACTCCTGTACTCGCCTGGCTGCGCCTCAGAAAGATGTTAACGTTGCTCTCGGCTGACCAGCTTTCCTGCCTGGGCTTCAGCTCAAGTTCTAAGCATGAGACCAATAGAACCTTGAGCCCAAGGAAAAAGCGAAAAAGCGCGCGCATCCAAAGAAAACAATAATTTATTTAAATAATCTCTTCATATTGTAAAATCAACATTAAGAGCACATTGTTTTCATAATAAATAACCCCAAAATACCTTTCATTTCAACAACAAAGACTTTAGGATAAGATAAAACAAATCCAAATCAGTAGCTTAATTTAACAGAAAATTTTTAAAAGGGAAAAATAAAACGGGGGGGTTGCTGAGGTCACTGCTAAACTGCAGTTTTCACAACTAGGGGTTTACAAAAAGATGAGTGTTTTTATACAAATAAATCAATGAGGGAAATCTGCACAGACACCTTTATTTACAAACTGTGTCCAAGTCCAGGCTAATCATCCTGAATAAGTTTTAAAAAAGATAATTTAAACACATTTTTTTGCCGTGTTCACATATTAAAAAATCATTTTTTCAACATCAAAATGAGGTCATCCGCAAAGGCACCTAAACTTTTAAAAAAATAAAACTAAAAAAACTCCACTGGTGATGGATAAGTAGAGAGCTACAGGAGCGCGCCTAGAGGAGGGGGCTCGGAGGGCTGGTTAGAGCGAGGCTGTAGAGCGCGGCGGGGCCGCCGGGGTCAAGGGGGCACGTGAGGGAGGGCGGGCAGGCAGGACCCCCCCACCCCCGAGGTCAACAGCCCAAGCGGATTAGAGCTGAGCCCCGGGGCGGTTGAGGAGAAAGGAGCCTCAGAACTCCCGGGAAGGATAGCAGGAGGAGGAGTCATCCCTCTCACGGACTCGGCTCTTGGCCCAGGGCGAGGAAGGCGCCGGACCGGCCCGCACTGCTGGGAATGGAGGGGAGGCAAGTTTAAGGCGGGCTCGAAATGGCCGAGACCCGGGGCTCAGGTCAGAAATGCAGTCATGGGGAGGAAGCCTTCGCTACGCCGCTGTCCGGGTCCTCCGAGAGGAGCCCAGGGACCTAGGAGACGCTTTCCAATTCCCGGCGGCTTGGTGACTGCGCGCGCGGGAGCCGAGCTTGGGGCGGGCCATCTCAGGTCGCAACCTCCCGGAGGAGTGGATGGCGGCTGTGCGCCAGTAGGAGGGACCTTCGGTTGGGGGACAAGCGCTGAGGATAACTGTTCTCTGCTCAGTCTCTGGCATGTTCTCCCTGGGGTTAGAAAATCGTCCCCGCGCTCACTGGGGCGCCCCCGCCGCCGTGGTGGTGGTGGTGGTGATGTGGCTGCGGGGTCTGGGTGGGATGCAGCAGCGGCGCTGTGGCCTGCAGATGTGAGGTGGAACCGGAGGTCTGGTGGTACCACGGGTAGTTGCCCAGAAAAGCCGAGGCCGCGCTGCTCGGACTGGACCCAGAGCTGCCTGCGCCGCTGCCGCCGCTGCCTGGACCGCCGCCGCCCCCCATCCGCTGCGGCGCACTGAAGTCCCAGGAGGCCGGCGCGGTGACTGGCGGCGACGCACAAGGTGGCGAAGCGCTGGCCCCAGGGTGCTGTTCCGAGGGTATCTCACCGCTTTTCCACATCTTCTTGAACTTGGACCGGCGGTTCTGGAACCAGATTTTGACCTTCGTGGAAAAAAGACTCAAGCATTAGCGCATAGTGGAGAAACCTGGGCGTGGGGCAGGAGAGGGGAAGAAGCTAAGAAAGGCTCTCCAGCTAGAGGTGGGCACGGAGCACACTGGCCGGGTAAGAGGATCACGTGTGGCGGCCTCGGAGGCGCCGCGGTGCCTGTTCCATTGGGGAGGTAATCTCAGAAAGGCTAAGACTGATGATGTTTGTGCACTGGGGTGATGATGACCACGCCGTGGGGTGGAGGAGCGTTGAGAGGGCCAGTTATTTCACCCGCTTAATCAGTAGAGAGAAGTACAGGGATTTCTGCCCACCCGGGTCCTTCGTTCCCTCCCATGCAGTGGCCCCTTAGAGATTTTCGACTTTTGGCCTAGAAGCTTAGGCCGCCTGGGGCGCGGGTCTGGAAATCCTTAGAACTACTAAAGTATTTTTAAAACCCTGTACTGAACCCGCCTGTTTCATGGCCGTTCCAGGACAGCGCCCTCCTCGCCTGCTGCGCGAGAGCCCCACCTGAGTCTGGGTGAGGCCCAGAGACGCCGCCAGCTCGGCTCTCTCGGGCAATGCCAGGTATTGAGTCTTTTGGAAACGCCGCTGGAGAGCTGCCAGCTGAAAACTGGAGTAGATGGTGCGGGGTTTCCGAACTTTCTTTGGCTTGCCGTTCACTATCCGGATTTCAGGCTCGAGGTCCTCCTTCTCTGCAACGAAACGGAATCATGACAACCACGCAAGTTAAAGTTCTCATCGGCCTGGAGGGCCCTGCCGGGACTTGGCTTGAGCCAGGAAGCATACAAGCTCAACTTCGCGTGGACTGAAGCCCACACCGACCCTCTGAACCTGGGAGCTGAACCCTCCAGAGAAAAGGAAGACACACACACACACGAGAGAAAAAAAGAGTCTGGTGGCAAGGAAATGCAGTTACCACGAGGCATGCACCGCGCTCACCCGGCCCTGGAGGCCGCCGGCTCTCACCAGCTCTCTCTGAGAGTTGTAACCGGTGACCGGCGCCAGACTGGAGGGTGAAGACGGTAAAGGGCAAGAGCAGGTAGTGTGAGCAGGCGGTGTGAAAATCCAGGGCTTCAGATGGGGCCTCCTCCCCAAACATGTTTACCCATCCATCCCAGTAACTAGACCTATATGACCTCCTTTACTTCGGAGTTATGCATACCAGGCTCGTTGTTGGCTGGGGACGAACTGGTCCCATAGGGCGCGTAGGTGTAGGCGGTGGTATAGCCCAGGTCGTAGCTGCTCTTGGCAGAATAAGGGACATTGTTGAGGCCGCTGGCGTGGTACTGGTAGGAGCCCATGTGTGCGTAGGGCGAACCCCCACCGCCACCGCCCGCTGGGTGCTGCTGGTTGGTGTAGTAGCTGCTGTCGGTAGCTGTGGACACCGGTAGGGTGGGCGACTCCTGGGGCTTGTGGAGACTGCTGCTGCTGCTGTTGCTGCTGCCAGGACCCGCGCCGCCACTGCTCGGGGGCTGCGGATGCTGATGGTATGTGCTGGAGGCCGTGATCTGGGTCGAGTGCATATCAGCCACTAGACTGTCAAAGACTCCAGTCATCCTGGCCCGGGACAGGAAAGAGCAGGGGTGGCGGGCGCCCAGGGGAAGCGAGGTGCCTCCTCCGTCTCTCTCGGTTCCCTCCAGCAGCCAATGTAATTACGGGGGTGGGGGGAAAGCAAGAAATGAGGCAAGCGTCTAGGCGCCTCCTCCTCCGAGGGAGGCGATCACCGTGCGCTGCTCCCGGCAGCTGCCGCCGGACACATCCTCTCTCGGCCTCTCGGCCTGCTCAGCTCCTGGCCCAGCGCGGGCTCGGGCGGGGGGACGGGCGGTGGAGGGGGCAGAGGTGGTGGGGCCGGGTCCGCGCTCCGGGAGGCGGGAGCAGGTGAGACCAGAACCGCTTTACGATTGTCTGCTCGGCGGGCTCCAGCAGGGTGGGCATTTAACACTTGTCACGTGAGCGCAGGCTACGTCACCTAGCAACAGCCAATCAGAAGCAAGAGGCCGCAGGGCTGCAGGAGCCCGGGAACGCCCAGCCGAGGGGCGGTGTACCCGGCGGCTGCTGCGGCTGGGCGGCCCCGAGTGCAAGCTGCTGGTCTCTGAAAGCCGGGAGCGAGGCGAGGGGCCGAGGTGGTGGTGGTGGTGGGGCGGGGAGTTGGCCTGCAGCTGGAAAACAGAAGGCGGCAAGACAGGAAGAAGTGCGGTCACAGTCCCATTCTGTGTACTAGTGCCAATTCCAGTGATTCGTACTTTCGTGTCTAAGGTCAGTTTTCAAACACATTAATCAAAATAAATCGGTGCCAAGAGCTTGGCCAGTTCTATTGCCGATTTTCCTCGAAGTGTCTGGCACTTAACTCATGTCAGCCACTCGGCACTTGACATAGTTAATTGATTTAAATTATTCATAAACTAAGTATAATATTCTCTTAACCAATCCACAGGGATATTAGGACTATTAATTAGATAATATTTTAATGTTTCCCTTTTGTTGCTTGAAAGAAAGGCAATATAGACTAAAAGATATTATTGTTAATAATATACCGTATTTGAAATCACTTTCCCTTTTACTTTCTGGACAAGCCGACGCTCAGAGCAATTATGTATATTTGATGGGTAATTAACACCTGCAAAGCGATTCCTGGGACTTCCTCCTTAGGGTGGAGAAAGGTTGTTCAGATGGGCTTCAAAGTTCATTCTGACGCAGAATTCGATGTTTTTACAAAAGAGAGATTGGGGTAATATTTAAATGAGGTTAAAGATTTGGCAAATATAGGGTACTAGATTTATCACATCTTATTAAACCTACAACAAATAGAAAGTTTTTGTCTCGTATGTTTAATTTAACCCTATTTTAAGGTTTTGCACTTTACGACCCTGTTCCACCCTATCATTGCAAGTTCTTCGTCTCTGTTTTAAAAATAATAAATGGAGACCACTTCTATATCTCTGTATCTTCCTTGTTGGGAACCTTGATGGACACACTCTTTGCTGGACTCCCAAGTCCTAAGGTCTTGCTGCAGAGCCTGCTTTGTGGCACCCCCTGGTGGACAGTGTGCGATGTTGCAGCGGGCCAGGGAGACGGTCTAATCACGCCCCGGCGCCAGCCTCTGAAACCCCCCAAAAGAACAAAATAGTAATTAAAAGCCGCAAAATTGTGCTAGTGCGCGCCATCTGAAGCACCTCTTCCTAAAGACATAACATGTCGCTGAAAGAACTTGTTGCAACAACTGTCTAATGGAAAACAAGTTGATACTTTGAAAAATATGATCTTTTGTCATCCTTTCCAGAAAAAGCAAGCGTGTAATTAAAACTCCAGCATTTATACAGTGGAATAATGAGGCAGGTAACCTGCCTTCTCTACGTGGCTTTAGACCCAGGCTTTCTTTTGGTTAACGAAGGCCCCTAAAAGCCGTGCACGGTGGCTCATGTCTGGAACCGTAGCACATTTAGAGGCGGAAGTAGGAGGATCACTTGAGGCCAGGAGCTTGAGACCAGCCTGGGCAACATAGGGAGACCCCCATCTTTCAAAGAGAGGGTGGGGAAGAAAAGAAAAAATTAGCCAGGGATAGGGGTGTATGCCTGTAATCCCAGCTACTTAGGAGGCTGGGGTAGGAGGATTGCTTGAGCCCAGAAGTTTGAGATTGCAGTCAGCTCTCATGAGGCCACTGCACTCTAATCCAAGGAACAGAGTGAGACCGTGTCTCAAAACAAAAGAAAAGAAGGCCCTAGATGGAGAAGAATGAGTCTATCAAACCTGCATGGCAGTAGGGCTCACTGAACATTTCCTTTACCATAGGCTCTGCCTGCATTGTGGGACTCAGTTACAAAATTATGTTTATGTTTAATCATGATATTGATACTTAGTTACAGTTGATATTTAATCACAACTGCCTTTTGGTGTCTTAATTTCAAATTCCTGTCACCACAGTGTAGCTGCTTTGCCCTAAGATAGAATAATTTTCATCTGAAAGTGAAAAAAAATTTTTTTTTGAGATAGAGTCTCACTATGTTGCCCTGGGTAAAGTGCTGTGGTGTCATAGCTCACAGCAACCTCAAACTCTTGGGCTGAAGAGCAAATTCTTGGGCTTAAATGATTCTCTTGCTGCAGCCTCCCAAGTAACTGGAACTACAGGTGCCTGCCACAATGCCTAGCTATATTTTGTTGTAGTTGACCTTGTTTTAGCTGGCCCAGGCTGGGTTCAAACCCTCCAATTTGGTGTATGTGGCTGGTGCCATAACTACTGTGCTACCAGAGCCAAGCCCTGAAAGTGAAATTTTAAAAACTTTCACTGTTTTAGTCTTACTGCCCTCTCTCTGCTCCTTTGTTCCCAAAGCACGCACATACTCCAGACTTTTTCATGGTGGCAAGTTTGTTGTATTTTAAACTTCTTTCCTAACCTCCATTAACAGCCTAAAGTCCAGGTCAGCCAAGATCTGGAAAATGGCATCTTTCTGGAAGAAAATATGAGTTCTCCTTTTTCAGGAATACAAAGGACTGGAGGAGAAACAGTGGAGACAATGAGCAAGGCAGAGGGAGAGGAGAAATCACAACTGCGTTTAGAAAATAAGTAGGGACTTGAAGGATTAATTCTGAAAATTTGAACACAAACTTGGGTTTGCCCAAATTACCTAATACATGGCAATAATCACAATAGCTAAATCATTTCCTTACTTAAAGCCAGGAGGACAGTGTCATAGAGAATCGATAGTTTCTTCTGCAGTTCAGAGCTGGGTGGTGCTCCTCTCTGTAATGATCTAAGACGAATGAAGGGTGGGTGCTTAGCAAGAGTTGGTGGGGGGGTGTGAGTGCTTGAGTGTGGACAGTGTCCTCCACCACCTCAGGGCACCCTCTTTTCCTTCTTTGATTTCGGTTTCCTCTGTCTGGGTTCCTTCTCAGGGACCTCAAGAAGAGGAGGCGGAATGAGGGCAGCTCTGTGTCTCTGCTCCGGCCTTGCATGTTCCAAGCCCATCGGTGAGATTTTTCTGCTGTCGCCGTGGCACTTTATCTGGTCTCGCAGTCTCGGCGTCTGGAGGAGGGTCAGGCCTAACGTCAATCCTTGTGCGGTGCAGGGTCAGGACCATCATTCCCAGTATACACGACGAGCACTGAGTCTTAAGAACAGAAACTACAGCCTTTAAGTTGTCCCTCCTTCCTTCCAGGAGCTGCCTTTCTCTGTTGCCATAGTGCCAATCATACTTAAGCCTTGGTTGAACAGCTCTGGGTCGCCAGCAGACGGCGAGCTGGAGAGGACAGATGTGCGCTGTGCTCTTCGGCGTCCGCCGCACAGCCAGCCTGATCAGGGCTTTGCCCGAGCTCTGCTGTCGGGAGGCTTCTGCACAAAAAGCCGTCCTGGGAGGGGTGCAGTGGGAGAGGGAGCCCTCGCGCGCGGCGGGGCCAGGCGGGTTCTCAGCCGCTCAGCCTCGCCGGCCCCGCGCGCTGCTGCAGGACTGCCCTGCGCCTACCTCTCCGCGTTTCCTCGTTGAGGGCTCCGGGAACGCAGGTTTCCTGCCGATTTCGGGACCATTTCTTTGTGTTTTCGTTCCTAAAGTAGTAGCTCTGGGAACTTGGGCTTTTGAATCCTTTCGGGGTTTGTCTTCGAACTCAAAAGACATTGGGAACGGGCAGGGATTTGATTTATGAGAATCTCCCAGCTCTACCATTCCAGGAACAGCCCGCAGCGCTCTTCTTCTTCCATCGGTGGCCAGTAGCCGCTTCTGGGATCGGTAGTGTCCTCAGCCTGGTTCTCCTGGCTGCTGCACACAGCCTCGAAGGAGCCGTCAGCTCCCCGCAGCCCCGCAGGCCCTTAAGGAGACAGGGTCCCTGAGTCTGGGTCTGGGTCCTTGGATTCAGCGTAGACCCAGCTAGATTACGCAATAGAAACACTCTTTGGGGGTCGCGACTGGGGCCGGCCCAGAGAATGGATGGGTCTTCTGATCTCCGCAGTCAGGGCAGCCCCCAGCCGCGTACCTCACCTCTCCTTTGGCCTTCAGTTCAGGCATTGCCTCGACTTCCGTCTACACTCCCTCTCCCTTCTCTGGGTTGAGAGACTTAGTCAACTCAACTAAATAGGGGGCTTCTGTCCTGCAGCAGTTGAGGGGCTATGGGCTATGGAGAAGGCTCCTGGCAGCATTTATTTACTGAGCACTCAGCGTTCCGCCAGGCCTTTACCTTCCTCCTAGTCTCACTCCTGGGAATTGCTCTATGCGGTGGGTACAATGCCATCCACGTTGAAGAAACCAAGGCTTTGATCGAATCACTTGCTGATGGACATGCAGCAGAGTCGGGACTCAAACTCAGATCTGGGCCACAGAGGCAAGGCAGCTGTTGCTCCAGGCAGGGTTTCTGGCCAACGGAACTCAAGAGAAGGTCGCATCACACCTCTCCCAGGCCTGGTCCTGTGAACGCAGTGGAATGAATGAGAAGAGACATTTGCGGCCACCGCGCCCTTCCGGTCAAAGGAGAGGACTGGGAGAGAAGGATATACCTGGACCCCCCAGAAGGGAGCTCCAGAAGGACCCGGCAAGATTTCTGAAGTGACTCAGGTGCCGCCTTGGAGAGCTGGAGGCTGCTGTCCCCTGGCTTCACCCAGGAAAGCCCAGCTCTGGGGAGGATGTTTTCTCCTGCTGGGAGTCTGCAGGGGATTGCCTTTGCTCCCTGCTGTGGTGGGAGTAAGCACCACGTGCTTGAGCAAGAATGAAGGGTAGGGACATTTCCAGGATATTTCCAGGGTGACCCTTCCACAGTGCTGAGCCGTCACTTCAGTTTGCTTCTAAGGTCTTTCAGACCCAGTTTCACTGTCTGCCTTCTGAGGTCTTTCTGACCCTAATCCCTTTATTGTGTATCCAATGGTTAAAAGAGAGAGGTTTTTGACCAGTGAGGGCCCCTTGAATGGGGCCAGCATCCCACA